TTCTGTTTTCGTACCTCCCTTTAGGCCTTGGTCCTTCTCTTTGTTCTTAACTTTTCTCAATAACTTTGTGTGTTCCTCGACTACAGAATATAGTTGGGTTTTACTTTGTAAGTCTAATGAGAACTTTCCTTTTAATAGGAGATTGACACCCACTCACATTTACTGATACAACTTAAAATTTTGTCTTAACTCTGTCACGATATTGTATGATGATGTGTGTTTTGTAGCATTTTCTAGTTTTCATTCTCTGTGAAATGTCTATTCTCTGTTCTTTAATCTATCATCTTTCTTTTCATTTTGGTATGTAGAAGGGTTTGTATTTTTGTCCTAATGGTTACCTTTGTATGTGTACTGTTCTTGGTGCTTTCATTCTGTTTATTTCACCTGTTCCTATCTCGCTTACCAGATTTTGTGGGGATCCTTTACCACTAACCCGTTGCCTCGCCAACAGTCAGTGACCCAATTCTACTTTTCTCTTTCGTCTCCTTTCTCCCATTTCCAGTTCCATCATTTGTATAAAGAAGTTTTGCATAGAAATATGGAAAAGCCAATCAGCGAAAGAACAGATTGTTTTAAAACCGAGAATAAACTACAGGAAGAAAACAAGTGTTGCAGCCACAAGTATGAACAGAAGCTCAAATCCACTAGGCATTAGAAAGGTACAAATTAGAATGGTACGGGGTTTTTGTTTGTTTTTTGGTTTTGCCTAGCCAAAAAAAAAAAAAAGGGGGTGGGGGCAAAAAACTAAAGCCTGGCAAATGTCGTATATTGGGGAAAGTGAGAGGAAAATGATGCTTCCGTGCATTCCCTGCTGGGGGTCCAAATTGGTCTGACCGCTTTATAGTTTTGTAGTAGAACATCTACCAATTACACTTTGTAGAATACATTGTAGAGCGACTCCTCCCTCCAGGAGACGTAGTCAGGAATATTAATTGAAGTCCTTTTGCCAGAAGCAAACACTTGGAAATGACCCGAGTGCTCAATAGTAGGTCTGCAGAGAAATGCAACTATGTACGCATATAATAAATTCTCTCCAGCAATTGTAAGAGATAAACTGGAGGTAGAGCGTGAGCTCCTACTTGCTGTGTTAGTATTGATGCTTTTTGACCCTCGACAACTTCATTTAAAAGATCAGAGTGGGGGCACCTGGGGGGCTCAGTCGGTTGAGCGTCCGACTTCATCTAGGGTCACGATCTCTCAGTTTGTGGGGTCGAGGTCCGCGTCAGGCTCTGTGCTGACAGCTCAGAGCCTGGAGCCTGCTTCGGATTCTGTGTCTCCCTCTCTCTCTGCCCCTCCCCCGCTCATGCTCTGTCTCTCTCTCTCTCTGTCAAAAATAAATAAACATTAAAAAAAATTTAAAAAAAATAACAACCTGTTGATGGGGCGTACTTCTGGGCGGCAGATTTACAAATTGAGCCAGTATATCAATTAAAAAATTCATCAGAAAGAAAGAAATCAAGCAGCTATTATGGGCGCTCTTAGCTGCCCTTAGGGCAAAACTCAGAAGCCAGAAGGGGGGGATCAGTGGGTGGATGTCTGTTCACCGTCCACAGGAGCCCAGAGGTTTCCAGATCAGAGATCCTCCCCACCAAGCGTCATCGTGGGTTACAAAAGGCATCTCGGGACAGGACACGTGGGTGGCTCAGTCAGTGAAGCATCGAACTTCAGTTCAGGTCATGATGTCACAGTTCTTGAGTTCAAGCCCCACAACAGGCTCTGCGTTGTAAGAACAGAGCCTGCTTCGGATCCTCTGGCTCCCTCTCTTCTCTGCCTCTCCCCTGCACATTCTCTGTCGCTCAAAAATAAATCAATGTTTTTTAAAAATTAAAAAAAAAAAGGCATCTCAATAAATGTGTTATCAATAATAGTTACACAGGAGCACCTGGGTGGCTCAAACCATTGAGCGTCAGACTCTTGATTTTGGCTCAAGTCAGGATCCCGGGGTCACGGAATCCAGCCCTGAAGAGGGCTCTGTGCTGAGTGTGGAGTCTGCTTAAGATGCTCTCTCTCTCTCTCTCTCTCTCTCTTTTTCCCTCCACCCCTCTCCTTCATTCACCCACTCTCTTTCGAAAATAAAAAAAAGATGCGTCTCTAAAAAATAATAATCATAATAGTTCAATAGCCAGATGCATGATTTAGTTAAGAAAATGAATCACGGCCGTTCTGTGGGGTGGGCGGGAAAACTTTCCATTATCCCCACTACTTCCGGTTCCGTAGCCAATTCCTGCCTCTGAAGTACCTAGCGCTTTGCGGTCTGTACCTCTGTGGCATCCTGCAAAACACAAGGATACCTTTTGGAGTTGTTCTCTGAATTCTATTCCCTGCTTCTTTAGTAACCACTCCTAACCGCCCCTCTCGGCCTTTTACAAAGACATCGAAACCGCTCCGAATGTGACCCCCTGTTTCCCTTTCCCCATGGTATTATATAGCTTTATATATTTTTCATACGTTTACTATCATTTTGAGGGATGTGCAGGTGGGAGAGGAGAAAAACATTGTTTTATTTGTTTTACAAAGAACTCCAAACTTATTTTACGAGTGTAATGGTTAATTTTATGTGTCAACTTGACCTGGTCACAGGGCACCCAGATATTTGAGGAAACATGATTCTAGGTGTCTCTGCAGGGTGGTTTTGGAAGAGATTAACATCTGTTTTTTGTTTTTTTAATTTTTTTTAATCTTTATTTTTGAGAGAGAGACAGCGCGTGAGCAGGGGAGGAGCAAAGAGAGGGAGACACAGCATCGAAGCAGGCTCCAGGCTCCGAGCTGGCAGCACAGAGCCCGACACGGGGCTCGAACCCACGAACTGTGAGATCGTGACCTGAGCCGAAGTTGGATGCTTAACCGACTGAGCCACCCAGTCGCCCCCGAAGAGATTAACATTTGAACCAGCCAACCTGTTTGGCCTCCCCAGTGTGGGTGGGTCTCATCCCTAAGGACACGAGAATTCATTCTCTCTGTCTATCTTCACTGGGCCCTGGGTCTTCTCCACGTCTTCAGATTTGGACTCAGACTGGAAGTCTAGCACAGGTTCTCCTTCTCAGGCCTTTGCACTAGGACTGTATGTCACTGGGTCTCCTGGGCCTAAAGCTTGAGGAGGGCAGGTCTTGGGACGTCTCAGCCTTTGTAATCACGTAAGCCAATTCCTTGCAATAACATACGTGTATATTTATATATGTGTATATATGCCCATGTTTCTCTGCAGAACCCTGAGTAATACAATGAGCAGGCTCAGTTGCACGCGCTCAGGCTATGCCATCCTTACGGAGTTTTAGAAACAAAAAGGGACTGACTTCTTATTTATTTTTATCGCGTTTTTGCATCTTTTTGTGTTTTGGGTTCCGGCCCACCTTTTAGTATGACTGAGACCGTTTTGATTCTTGAACACCCCACCCATTCGTCACATGAGTTCCGGATCGGCCAGAAACTTGCTTTGATCTTCAGCCCTGGCTAAGACATCACCCTCCATTGCTCTACATCGCTTGTTTTTCACATTATGCTCTCCTCGAGGATCCTTAAATAGCGAGCGGTAACTTAAGCTCTTGCCCCAAAGAGCCTCCTCTGCTAGTCTAGATACGCCCAACCTGAGACTCAAGGTCAACAACACTGTTCGTAATCTCTACGAACACTGCGTTCCATCGCGCACATGAGTTGACCTGCAGGTGTTTGCACAGCCAGGAAATGGCAGAATCTGGACAGTTGCATTTAGCGGAAGCGATATCTGTAAATGTCGACATGCCTGATGTTGTGCTAAGTGCTGGGGTTACAAAGGTGAAGGTGACAGGGTTCCTCGCTAATAAATATATGGTGTAGAGCTGTGGTCCTCAAGCCTTTTTGATGACAAAGTATAGTCAGAAACACAGCTCATCTAACGACCTGGTTCATACACCCACATGGATAATTAAAGCAAAAATTTCAGGAAACAATGTTTAAGTTTCTTCATGCAATGTACTTGCATATGTGTCTGCTATAATCTATTTAATTTAGAACGTTAGACCACAATACGCTTATGTTGATTTTACAAGCCAACAATGGGCCCTGACCAACAGTGTAAAACAAATGATTTCAGACAACCGGGAACACTGTGAGAATCATCTTGAGCTCTAGATGTAGAGCTTTTCTTCCAGATGCTAATGGTGATGTTTATTTTTAGCTTGGACGCCTGCCCACCCCTCAGGGCATTGTGTTCATTTATCAACCCCCTGGGTCCTGACAGGACGAAACACAAGTAAGGTAACTTTTAGTGGAAATAATCCTGGAGTGAAAGGAGGCAGGGAAAGGTTGAAGGGCAAGGGAAGGCAGCCGGGCTCGGGACGGGTAGTGGGGGCTGGGTCCACGGAATTACCTGAAGACGTTATCAAAGTAAAGAACAATCAGAAGACCAACTACAGAATCAGGGGGACTTGGGGGTAACACCTGGCGGATAGAACGGCGTGGGGTGTTTTATCTCTTATGTCACTAAGCTCGAGGCTCATTTCCTCCCCCACATCTTGTCTGGCTGCCCTGGAGAGCTTGCACATTTTGGTCGTTCCTCCATGGCTCGCTTACGTTGCATTGATGTGATGTTTTGGGGTCTCGAGAGCAGGGGGGTGCCTTTCTTTGAACCCCTAGCATCCCGCTAAGCGCCTGGCAGCCTGGCACACGGAGATACTCAGGACGCGTCCCCTGGGCTTTTCGAAGTCTCGCCTCCTGCACCGTGACGCGGACTTGGGTGAACTGCTCTCCAGGGCCCTTGCAGTCCGAACAGGCTATGATTTGGGCAGATCTGGGGTGGCCCCTGGCACTCTGCTCCTCGGTGGGCTCACATTCACGTGTTAAAACCTGAATGACCAGTGCACAGGGGAGGCCCTGCTGGAGCAGCTGGAGGCTAATGCTGCAGAGACGGGATTCCAGCCTCCTCCTCCAACGGCTGTGCCCCAGCCAGCGATTTCCTCTGAGGTCTGGATTGGTCCAGGGAGCAGCAGAGGGCTGGCAAAGAGCCTCTATATATCCCTCGGAGGGAAAGGCAGTCCCAGACAGTTAAGGAGTTCTCAAAGACTCGCTCTGCTGTGCAGAATCTCGTGTTCAAAACAGAGACGCTGAGCCGCTTGCCACAATGTGCAAAGGACTCGCGGCTTTGCCCCATTCGTGCCTGGAAAGGTGAGAACCAAGTTATTTTGGCTTAAGAGATGGAAATCCGGAGAATCTTTGTGCAGGGGTGGATATCTAGAGGTGATAGAGAGCTGTTGTTGTTTGTGCGGAAACAGGTGTGGGATTACAGATTGGGGCTCGCCTCCTCTCTGGTAACAGCACAGAGGCTTGTAAGATCTGAGCAACAGGAGACAGATAGATGCACCATGGGGTATTTCGTGCATCATTTAAGATCTCGAACTTCATTTCCTCCAAGGAGATGCCTCGTCCATAGGGTGCTTGCTCAGAGTCAGAAGTGTATGGTTAAGAGCAAGAAATACAATATCGAATCGCCTGTGTTTGAATCCCGGTCCTACTGTTTTGTGGGGTCGGGCAATTTATTTACTCTCCGTATCTCAGTTTCCTTCTCTGAAACGGAGATGCCAGTAACCTACCTCGGGGGCTGCTTATGAGGACTGAATGAGTTACTGTATATTAAACCCTCAGCCCACTCCCTGGCACCTAGGAGAACTGTGTAAATGTTAACCTTCATTGATTAATGTTCGTGGACAGAGAGAGAGGCAGGTTTGCCAGGAGGAAGAGGGGATTTCTCATTGTGCTGTGTATCTTGATCCCACTGGATAAAATTAGCCGGAACCCTGGCGAGAAGAAGGCGGTTGGGACACAGAGGTTATTTATTAGCTAGCCTTCCTTTTTAGATAAATGGGAAAATACCTTTGAGGTTCTCTGGTTATCCTTAAGGTAGACAATATTCTGGAGGGAACCCTAAGCATCTGGGCCAAGTAAATAGAAGAAAACAAATATCGGACTTGTTAGAAAAGTTAACCCAACAACCCTACCTGATGCACAGAAGTAGGGATGTGTATTTTCCTCTTATTTCTTAAGCATGGATTTGATCACATTTGGTGCGAGGCTTCATTATTTAAAGGAAATAAAGTGATCTGTGTGCAACCTAACTCCATCTCTAAAGGCTCTGGCAGTGTTTGCCTAAGAAGGTTGTGTTCCACGGGCTATTTATGATTTCTCTCGTCTCTTACAAGCTCAGGTCTGACCCCTATTACTGTTTTATATCTGATTCATGATCAACCGTAATATTGAATCCCTTTTTGTATCTTTGAGTGCACAGTGACATCCTATGCTCCAGGATATAACTAATGTGCACGTGGGATACTTGAGGGTGGCCAAGGAGCAAGCATGTTTTCCTGGATTGCCTGAACCTTCTCATTCACTGGCATGTGGTAGAATCTTCGAATTGTGTCCTACTCATTCTTGTTTTTTGTGGTCCATTTCCATTGCAAATAGAGTCTGATTTCCAAGGACAATGCTGAGAGGAGTTTTTAGAGGAATGGGATTGTGCAACTGTTAGCACACGTTCGTGGAAAGAGTCTGAGACTATTGGGGTTCCTGGGTGGCTCAGCCGGTTAAGCGTCCGACTTCAGCTAAGGTCATGATCTTGCGGTCCGTGGGTTCGAGCCCCGTGTCGGGCTCTGTGCTGACAGCTCAGAGCCTGGAGCCTGTTTCAGATTCTGTGTGTGTGTCTCTCTCTCTCTGACCCGCCCCGGCTCATGCTCTGTCTCTCTCTCTCTCTCTCTCTCAAAAATAAATAAATGTCAAAAAAAACAAAAAAAAAGAGCCTGAGACTATCTATTCTAAGGGAAGCATGTTGCTTGAATGAATGCATCCAAACCCATCATCTTTGTTCTCCTCTCTGTCTCTCACCTCCCTCTTCACCAGATGCCCACCCCCCCCATTTCTCTCCACACTACAAGAGGAACGTTGGTAGGTCTCAATGCTTAGGTAAAGATATCTGAAGACTCATACATAAGAAATTAGGACAACATACATGCATACAAAACTAATCTGTTTATAACGCAAAGCTCTGCTGAAGAGTGAAATTGCACCTTTCAGTTGCTTTGGAAATAAAATTCAGTTTACCGAAACCAGATTAGCGTGTTGTGATTTATCCTGGTGGAAAGAGGACCGGTGAAGGAGTTAGGAGCAGATTCAGTCTTGTCATTATCTACATTTGCACCCATGAGCAAGTTCTTTCACTGCCCCGGGATTCTATCTTCTTATTGAATCAAGGAGACTTGGATTTGCCATTCTCCAACATCCTTTTCCATTCTAACATAGTTTCAATATGTTCAAAGCACAGTTGAATTCTGTGGCTAGCAAGAGATGCAATTAAAGGGAAATTTATCAAATTGATCTCTCTGTAAACATTTGGGAGCCAAAAAGACTCAATTAATGAAAAATCATCAAGAACCGAACCCTGTGCTGAAATCATGGCTGTGGCAGAAGCAACCTGCTCATAAGAAAGCAAACTTTACTTCGTGTACCGGGAGATTTAATCCCAGAACATATTTCTTTTTTCAACGTGGAGGGAAGCATTAAACCAGAGTCAACTTTTACATAATGATAGAAGCTATTCTTTCTTTCTTTAGATCTTTAAGATCACTGCTTATTAAAAGTCAAAGTTGACCTCACGTATTTTTATATATTTAACGAGACCAGTGGGGCGCCTGGGTGGCTCGGCAGGTTAAGCGTCCGACTTCGGCTCAGGTCATGATCTCACAGTTCGTGAGTTTGAGCCCCGCATCGGGCTCCGTGCTGGCCATGCACACGTTGTTTCTGTCTCTCCCTCCCCGTCCCCTGCTCCCACTCTCTTTCTCTGTCAAAATAAATAAACTTAAAAAAAAATTAAAAAATAAATATGGCTCTTTGGAAGAAGACAAAAATATTCTAAAATGAAAAGTGTTATGATGATTCCCAAAAAGTTGTTAGTGTAATATAAGCAGCCGGGGTGATTATTATAATTGTTCTCCCCCAGTGCTGACTAGTCCTGTCACCACGTTCACGGTTCACACCAACCCAAGAGGGGAGGAAACAAATAATGAAGACTTGGCCTCTGACAGAGAGTTTTCCCTGGGATATTAATGAAGTGTCATGAACTCCTTACCTCTGCCAGCGTCTGCTGTAGATCTGATTTCTTTTTTTATTTCTTTTTTTATTTTTTTAATGTTTATATTTGAGAGAGAGACTGAGAGACTGAGTGCAAGCAGGGGAGGGGCAGAGAGAGAGAGGGAGACACAGAATCCAAAGCAGGCACTAGGCTCCGAGCCATCAGCACAGAGGCCGATGCGGGGCTCGAACTCACGAAACGGGAGATCATGACCTGAGCTGAAGTTAGACGCTTGACCAACTGAGCCACCTGGGTGCCCCTGATTTCTGTTTAAGGTGGTGAAAATATTTTCAATCCACAGTTCACAGGGAAGCTTCTGGTCATCTCCAGTTTGTGGGAATTTCAGGAGCTGTGCAGGGTTAATAACAAAGGTGATATTTTGGTACTTTTCGTTTATATTTATTTTTACTACACATTCCATTTTTTCCTCCTCTTTGATTTATATGGGTCTAGGTGTGGATAATTTAGAATAGAAAGGCATCTAATAAGCAGGGCCATTAATCAACTAATCTTTTAAGGTTGTTAAGCCACGTGGAAACACCTTGCTGAGTGGGCCAAGGCTCCTGGGTCTGCAGGATTAAGTAAACCCAGCTTTTTCAAAGGCATGAACACACCCTTGGGCCAACCGTGGAGAGAACACTGTAGCAGTGAAATTGAACAAGTCATAGAACCAGTAAGAGATCACCAAAGAAGCCTACAGAGATAGGGGTGGAGCCTCCAGTTAACGTTAGGATCATGCTTTCTGCAAATAAGTATGAATTTGAACCCTGTTGTAGCTCATCGTCTTGTGATATAATCGCCAATATCAATCGCCAATTGAAACACTATAATGTTAAGGAAGTAAATGAACTAAATTGTTCATAAATTTCAATAAACTAAATAGTTCAATAAAGTTGAGGGGTGGGGAATCACTAAGAATAACTTTGTTTTGATTCTTACTGATGCCACAGTATTGATCAGTTCTCTGGCTTGCCTTTCAAACCTCCATACTTGCCTTAGGCGTAAGGACAGAGGACCCAGACCCTGCTCTCAAGGAAACTGCAGCCCAGTTAGGGAAAGAAACAAGAAAGCGTATGGAAATTAGCTGAGATCCACTATGAAGGAGTAACTGCACGGAGTTTCCCTGACCACCAAAAGCTCTCTGAGCCCCCCCCTCCCCCTTCCCCCCCAACCCCACAACAGCTTTCGGTGGTCAGGGAAAATTTGCAGGAAGTTTCCAGAAACGATACTTAGGCCAGGCTCATGAACTGAGTCTCAGGAAGGAGTTAGCCAGGCCTATATGGGAAGAGCCCAGAGGAAGAAGGTGTTCCAAGGCCATCTGCGGAACCTACCTGGGCAAAGTCAAGGAGGGGAGAGGGCCCAGGGAGCGTGACTGCTGTTCGGACTCCTTTGTACTCTTGGTGTTATCCTCCCGAGACAAGCACAGAGGGAACTTTGAATTTCTAATCAGTTACCCTCCTGTGCCGCATGTCCTTTTTTTACTGTCTCCTGGGGACCTGTCAATTTCCCATCCCCTCCTGTATGTGAAGATTGAAGAGATCTGCTCAGGAGGAAAGATATCCCCACCCCTTTGCCTAAAGAGTTTATTTACTAAAAAAGACAATCTGCCCTTGGCATATAGTAGGTACTTAATAAATATTTTTGTCTAGAGAACGCATGAATAAATTTACAAGTGGAGACAGACTTGCTCCCAGGGTGGCCTGGTGCTTCCTCTGCTTCCAAAGGGATCGGGAAGAACAACAGTGATATTCGGGGGTTTCCAGGGGACAGAGTGTGCATGTTCCAAAACAAAGAGGGATTTCCAGGGTGGCGGGGATGGCGGGGAGCGGGAGGGGAGGAGTAGGAGAGGGAGGAGGGTGGGGAGGAGACTCCCTCCAGCATTTCTGCAACTTCCATAGGAAAACTGTGTTAAAGAGGTGAGTGTTCTTGTTTCTAGTGAGGGTAGATGCAGCTGTTGGTGAAGCTTCTAACACCCTATGACTTCAGCTCTTTCTCGAGCAGTTACTACGCCAGCTTTTCTGATGAAAAGCTTCCTTCCCTAAAGGAG